AAAAAAAAATCTTCCCTCACCCCGGTCCCTCCCTCTATCTCTCCCTCCTCCTTTACCCTATCTCTTGATTTCTTTCCATTTTTTTTCCACAAAAATCCTAGTGGTTTTGAACCCGGGACCTTCTGAACACTAAGCTGATGTCTTACTCCTAGACCACCAGCACCCCTGAAATTTATTTTCTTTTATCTTCCTCTTAAGCTACATCTTCGGTTATAATTCCAGAAAAATCAATTAACTTACTTTCTAAATCACAAAACTATACTTGGTCTCGAACCTTAAACCTCTTGTTCACTACGCCGGTGTTTTACCAACAGGCCACCGATGACATGGAAATTTACGACCTTTAATCTGCCTCTTATGTTACCTGTCGCTATATAATGCCATAAAAATCTCATTACAAAAATACTCGTGTTTTCGAACCACGAACCTTATGTTTAGAACGCCGGTGCCTTACCGCTAGACCACGGGAACATCTATACTACAGCTTCCTGCGATCGTCCTTATATTATACGACTTGGTTTAAAGCTGCAGAAAAATCGTATTTATTTATTCACTTTTCAATTTCTATTGACAAAATACACCGTGGTCTTGAACCCCGTACCTTCCCAATACTTCGCCAATGTCTTACCCACGTACCACCAAATCTATACAAATTTGTTACCTTCACCTTCCTCATATAGTACCACTTGCTTCCTATATGCAAAAATTTCTTACATTCTTTTTTTCACAAAAATAGTCATGTCTTCGGACCACATAACTTCTAAACCATACACCTTACCTCTAGGCCACCGGCCACCCTTGATATTACTCAGCTATTTAATCTAAAGTGAAGCATTTGTTCCATCGAGAAGGCCCTAAGGACAACCGGACGGAAAAAAGGACTTCTACTCGTTGCATATATATTTTATTGGCGTGAAGGACTTGACGCAGTTGCGTAATAGTGTCCGTTATTATCGACAGGGGAAAGTAGCGGAAAGTATAGTAGACGCGATCCAAGTGATCAGTATATAATAACTGATCGAAATCTGAAAGGTCGTTGCAACATTGGGAGGCTAATATCCAGCAGAGATATCTGGAGAGAGAACTTCGCTGTCTTACAAAGGAATATTTCCCTACGCCTGTTTTGGTATAATCTTATTTTCAGAAATAAAAGACGGGTTGTGAGATCACCTTGCTGTGTGTGTGTGTGTGTGTGTTCCTTAACAAATGTTTAATGCAATGTGAAATGAAGCCTGGAAGCCGAGTGGAGCCGGAAGAGACCGCCGTTGATAGGCAACGGCTAACTTGTTTCCGCTGCAAGGAATACACACGGACAATAGAAGAACTGTTGTACATGGTGGTTTCCTATGCGGTCCGTGTCATATCAAATAATCAATATGAAGTGAAAGGAAAGTAGTTGCTCATTTATTTCCAAAAGTTATTTTTTCTCTATATTTTAAGCAGTGATAATGTTAATGTATGAGAGCCGGAAGTTCCGGGCCAGAACTCACAAAGCCTGCTTCCGAAAGTTTCAGACGTGCAGTCCTACAAATCGTGGCATGTTGATGTTGTATTTATTTTATGCACATGAGCAGGGAAACCGAGAGTACTCATTGGCTGATGTGTGCTGGCCTCGTGCACGAGGGATCCAATCCAACTCGAGTCCCAGTTACTCCCTTTTCAGATCCAGGGCATCAGATCTACTGATGTCACAAGCGAACTGCACTTACTCCATCTTCTTCTGCTAACTTCGACCTCTCCCCTTTCTAACCCCTTCTCGCTAGCGCCGGAATGGTAGGGCCGATTTTATTCGCACTCGGCACTCAAGACGCCAGATAACGAAAGCACTGGCTCCCCTATGCTGCATGTACTGACTTCATTGGAGCTGAGCCTTTCTTGAGAAGCCGCCAGTCCTGCAGCTGCTCAAGACTTTCCCAACATTTTGTGGAACCCGAAGGTTCATTACCGTGTTCACAAGAGCCCTCCGTTGGTCCTTATCCTAAGCCAGATTAATCCAGTCAATACCACCCTATCCTAGCTCTCTAAGATCCATTTTAATATTATCCACTCCCGCCTTGGTCTTCCTAGTGGTCTCTTTTCTTCTGGTTTTCCCACGAATATCCTACACGCGTTCTTCCTATTCTCTTCATAATCACCACTGTGAGAACCTCAGTTCCTGCAGAAAAGGAAATTTTCGTTTCTTTTTGCAAATCCTAAGTTCGCGCCAGTTTCATGATCCATGAATATTGTTGCGTCGCTGTGCAACAATCGTGGGATGGGTGGTTATACCAGACTCCTTTCTGGGCAACGGCTTGGTAAACACGTTCCCGCAGTAACGATTAGCATACAAGACTGAACGGTGTTGTCTAAGCGGCCCGTGCCGAGGAGTTATAGAGAAGAGAGTTGGGGCAACCAAGTCAGTTGATAGTTGGCAGTCAGTTCTGTACGACACTTGAGCACAGAAGCGGAGGAATAGCCATTGTTAGAAGTTGTTATCAGGAAACGACTAGTGAAGATACTCCAGGCTGGAGAAGACTTAGTGTGTAGTGATTTGTAAAGTGTGGAAATCAGTAATAGTGTTAGCTATTTGTAGTTACGACTTTTAAGTTGTCAATAAATACATTCACCAATCCAAACCCCGTCTACAGCCACACACATATTGTGTGACAATATGTTACGAGCCACTGCGTCCAACCAATCCTACCCAACTCGGAACTAAGGAAGTGCAACATGTCGAGATACTGTTGCGAAAGCATCCTTGATAAGTTCCGCGTTGATGAACAAAGTTGAAGGGAGGAAGCACAGCTATACACATACATAGCCTGCACGCAGCCTGACGCATTTTGTCGCCCATTCATTTACTTCTGTCTGTTTACTGCCTTCTTCGAGGTCGACAAAAAGCAGAGAACATTTTCAGGATTCAGCACGCACTGGAGCACAGTATTACAACGGATCCGCTATTTTGCATGAGTTTAGAAAATTTGTCTATCAGTTTCCCGCATTTTCTAGCCAGTGGGTTCACAAATGGCGGTGAGGTTGTCAACCTTACGCGCCGGCCGCCTTTTGCACCTGGGGAAAGATTGCTGGTACTCATTTCTGCTCGTGCATCACAATCTTGTTCCCCGGTGAGAATCAGAGTTTACACGAAACTTAATCATAGTGGATTAAAAAAAAGTAAAGGTATCCCTGTAACAGGCCGTGGAGGTCCATAGGGTTGTGAGATATTGAGGTTCCCACATTTTCTAGACAATCGACTCACAGATGGCGGCAAGGTTGTCAGCCTTACGCGCCGGCCGCCCTTTTTTCCCAAGAATATCTAAAAAATATTCCTGTTACTCATTTCTGTTAGAGGCTAAGTCGACCCCAGGGCCATAGTGCGGCTGGAAGGATTTTGTTGACTGAAAAAATCGAATTACCTCATCGGGATTTGAACCCGCGACCTTCCGGCTTGTAGCATAGTGCCTCAACCAACTACGCTACCACGTGCCCCCCACAGTTGATATATATATATCTACACAATGCAGTGTACATATTTAAGATGGTGTGGTTAAATCGCTGATTAGCTCGGCGCCATTGCACCTGATAAGGCTTTTTTATCAGCGTAATACCTTCTCGAGCATTTGCCAATCTGATTCGGTTCAGTGGCTCCGCCCACAGAGCGAATGTCCTATGGCGAATTGCAGCCAACGCACTCCACCTCTGTGCCTGATAAGGGATAAAACCTGGAAGGCTGATGGATGGTTCTCGAAGGATTAACTTCTTTTTCTTTCTGTGGTCTGCAAGGAATTAGACTGAAAAGTCGGCTTTTGGAAGGAGAGAAATGACCAAAAAGGGAGTTCATAGCCGAACTCACAAAACCTTCTGTGCTTTTTGGATAGATTTCGAGACCTTCTTGGAAATCAACGGTACGATGAGCAGCAGAGATCGTTTTCAAGCATTCATCTGAAAATTTTTCCAGCGTGGAAATGATACCTGTTGGAATATAATCACAGGTATACGCGTCATGCTGTCAAAATTATTAAGGATAGTTACAGATATCATGGGGAACAATAATATATTTCATTATTGCGGTTGAATCAGTTTATTTCATTATCCACCAGATGCCTCTATATATCGGAATGTAAACTGTAAAATGCTGCTCAGTATTCGAAGCATCACACAGTACCACTTCACATAACTAAAAATTATTGTAACCTTAATTCACGGCTTTGAATCTATGTCAAAATTACGCCAGAACTGTTCACCTTCATGGAATTCGAATTTCTGCTACTGGGTTTATGAGCTCCTGTACTAACGCAATTCGTGAATGCCCACAGCATTGCTTGAAACAGATGCCAGATTGGTTTTCTGCAATTGTTTTCATATCTTGAGCGAAATAACCTTTGGAAATGCATCAGTACTCCATCCCGACAGATTATAACAGTAAGAGACTAGTACTTACCTTCATCGTAGATCTTGCGCACAACGGCATCGACTGTGAGGCTCACCCAGCCAAATTGTTTCCAATGCTCACGCGTTGGGGCGCAGACCTCCAGGAAACGGTGGGTGTGGTCACGAAAGCACAGCATGTCCAGGCCACAATCGTGGTCTGCGTTGAGTGGCACTGCAGCCGCGCTCTTGACTCCAGCCACTGAGCAGCAGACATCCACAGCACGCCAAAGGATACGATGCACTGGTTCTGCTGGATAGCCCACCTCGCGCAGCCGTCTCTCGCCCAACAGGACCCAGAGCAAAACAAGCACGCGACTTCTCAATGCAGTATCCTCAGCAGAGAAGAGGCAATGCCCAGGTGCGTCTGCACCGAGCTTTGTTTCACTTGCAGCTCCCATTTGTTGAACGAAGACTTCTTCGCCGCCAGGTGTCCAGTCCCTCAGTTGAACTAGCACAGTGCTCCGCTGAAAAGAGATGTTTTGACCCTCGTGGCGCTGCTGCGCATCTTTTTGCCGTGGTTCCTTTAGAGGACAACTGCTATGAAGAGAATCAGCAGGACTTTGGGTAAATTGTTGGTCCGCAGTTTGCGTTCGGTTTTTCGTGGGACTACTCGGTTCGGTTCGGACAACTTCATTTTTGATTAACTCTCTGTCACCGATTTCTGTTATGATTTCCGAAGGAATATTTGGCCTTAAGTACGTGTTGCAATCCTCAGAGCTTCTTTTGTCTTCGTTTTGGATGTGCGTTACCACTGGACAGGGGTTTTGAAGGAAGTCGGCTCTATCTTCGAGACTATGTTGGTCACCGATTTGTGTAGGATTCACCGTACGTGAACACTTCCCAGGATAGTCACGTCTTCTGTATTCGAATATGTCTTCGTCGACGATCGGATTATTCTGGAGAGGAGAACTTGCGTGCGGCAGAACACGTCTACCCAAAAGATTTTGTTTGTCTCCAATTTTAGTGTGATATTCCAATTGATAACTCTTATGAGGAGATTCGCCCTTGTCTTCAATGGGCTGTTCTTCGTCGATATGAGTACTGTATTCGTTAGGGGCGTATTGCTCTTTCGAACTAATTGTTTCTTCGAAGGTTTGTTTGCTACGTATTCGAGTGTGGTTTCTCGCGGCTGAACGTAGCATGGAAGATGTACTTTGTTCACAAAGAGGATGTTTATCGCCGATTTCTGGATATTTTAAGATAAATATGCCTTCATCATCTTGCCTTCCCCTGGCCCCTTTGCTGCGTGTACGTTCTTGCAGGTCAGAGCTCTCAGTTGCACTGACTGCTACGGCAGTGGAAACGCCTCTAGGCGTATCTCTCGCAATAACGGCAGGCTTCATGCCATATGCCTTTAGCCTGCGACGTAGTTCATGAGGATAATCAGCTTCGTTACTGCTGGAGTTATTGTCAACTGTTGTATTAGGTGTCGCGCCATCTTGTACTGAATCCCTGACATCAATAATGGCCGACAACGCCGTTGTTCGTTCGTCAGAAGTAGCTTCCATGGGTGAATTTCTCGCATTCTCTTCATTGGCTGTGTTGGGCGAGAGAGTGGATGTTCTCCGTCCCTGTTCTGTAATAAAACAGATGCTTGTTGCGGCCATATTGCCTCCTTTCTTAGTGATTATGTCATCCTCAGTCGGAAGTGTCACATGTTCTCCAGAAAAATGTTCCGCAATATTATGAGGCGAAGATGACCTTAACCAGCGTTCCTTGTCGTCGTCTTTCAAACTCACTAAAAGCGGTGTAGGTTTGTTTATCAAGATGCTCTCATTTTCAGAAAAACTTTCGGGTCTGTTATACTCTGTTTTCCGATGATGTATGTTAGGGGGCGGTTGTGACCTTGGTAATTCTGAAATGTATACAGGTCTCGCGTGAATTTGTTTGCTATTTTGAGCAAATGAATTCCTATTCTCAGTAACGTGTTCTGCCGTTGGAAAGTCCCGTATCGAGCCGCATGTAGTCTTTATGTACGAGGACTTCACTGTTCTTGATCTGTACTGAGGAGTCGCACGTCTCATGCTCTCGTGAACAGGTGACATACAGGTTGAACTTTCGTCACTTCTGAAATCACACTTTGGGGAGTTGGTGTCACGTGAGGAAACATAATCTCCAGAGCCAATTTCGCCCTCGTCTTCATGTTCCCTTCCACCATGTTCTTGATCCTTTTCAGCACCTTGTGATATTTTGTCCAAATAAGTTCTTCCCGGATTTCGTAGATGCAAATCCCAAAATCTGTCAACTCCAGTGACAGCGATGGCGCATCTGTAATTCGTCCCAGCAGAACAACACCAGGTAACCTGCGTGTTCTCCTCTGCTTCGGGCTTATACCGCCACTCCAATGGATATGGCCTTGTCCGATCAGACGTGAGACTTTTTGTGGCGACCGGCTGGAACGCGGAATGACGCCTGCAGCCTATCACACTTCGGTGCCCGCCTGGAAACTTGCTCAACACTGGAACCGGCCCCAGTCTGCACCACACTATCGGCTGAGGCCTGTGAACTTCGCCGTTCGAATTTCCATGGCAGTATTCGTAATAAAGGGGCATCGGAGACTCTCGAGCCTTATTCTCACATGCCACCATCTCTTTCTTTTGCCAGCACTTAAAAATTGTCACTGTTTCATTAAAGCATAGATATTCACTGAATTCTGGTGAGATATTCTATACGTAGAATATTCGCTCCTGTTTTGTCCTACGTATGTACTAGCTACTAAGTTACACATTGTTAGCTATGCCACTTTGTGCTCTCACTACACGCAAGATTACGGTTCATGCTGTAGAGTCCGTAAATATCAATTTCCTCTGAACAGAATATTATCCCGACACAGTGTACTTCCTCACTAACGGCAATGTTATGTAACATTTGTCTTCTCATTTCTCCTTATCTTCCTTTACGAAATAAGAATGGACTATAGTTCTGACCTCTGATGCCTTCTTGACCATGTTCTGTAACCCCTGCTGCTGTTCTCAGGACCATTGGAGACTGGAAGAAATACAGATATACAATTACCATCTTTATGCACGGGTGCACATTCAGTACCTGCGTGGAAGTGAGAGGAGACTGGGGAAAATTGCATAATGGGAACTTCAAGAGATGTTTCGCAGGAATATACAGCCTCAATCTTCAGAGACGAAGATTAAGTCAATGAAACCAGCAGAAGCAGACAACATGCTTAACATTGCTTAGCAGAACTGTGCTTGCTGCCTGCTTCAGGTTGGTTTCTTGCTTAACTTTCTCCTCGACCCCTAAGACGGAGGCTTTATATTGATCCGAAACGTCTTTTGTCTTTCATTAGACTATACGGCTTTGTATCCCACCAGCTATGACTCTTATAGCCACTGCTGTGTAAATCTCAAAACGAAAATATTTCTAGACAGATGATCCCAAGGGGGATGAAGTGAACAGGCAGGGGATGGGGGGAGAGAAGAGGAATTCGTAGGCAGTTTTTATAGAGACACTCGAAAGAAAGAGAACACTTTGAAGAATTAGGCGGGATATGGGTGGATAATAGTGAGATGGATGCTAGATGAGTGGCACTGGGGGTTTGTGTTCGGGATTCATCTGGCTAAGGTTAGGGACCAATGTTGGGCTCTTTTTAAAAAGTTAAGGAACCTCCACTCCCATAAATATTGAGAATTTCTTGAGTAAATGAGAAACTACTAGCTTTTCAAAAAGACTTATCTTCATCATAATTATGCATTCAGTTTGGTCAGAGTGAGCTCAAAACCTGATGCGCGCAAGCCGCGTTCTCGCTTGAACTGGCCGCTTTATTGGAGGACACTGTAAGGGACGCAAGGACCTGCACGCATGAACACATTTTGGTCATCTCCATGGATTCCTGTAGGCCTAAGAAATGAATGTCTGGTTTGTGTTCTCGTACACGTAGAGTTCGAATCCTGGCCGGGCACCGTCAATCCTGATTGAGGTTTCTAGTGGACATTCTCAGTCAATACCTTCCAAACCCTTTACAGTCATCATTCATCTATCGTCCTCCCATTCGGCACTGATCTGACCCAGCCTCACTATGGGCCTGAGGTCGGCACAGCCTCTAACAGAAATGACTACCAGGAATGTTTTTGGGGGGTTTAAGGTGGCCAACGTGTAAGGCTGACAACCTCGCCGTCATCTGTGAGCCGACTGTCTGGAAACTGTGGCAGCCTCGACGTCTCACAACCCTATGGGCCTCCACGGCCTGTTACAGGGATAGCGTGGCCTTTGGTTTTCATAGCGTAACTACTGAAAACGTCGTAAAATGGGCAAATAAACGGTATTTTAATGTGATGAAAGTAAAACATGGCCTGCGGTGAGTTTAGGTTGCATATGCATGTACGCTTCCAGTGCACTGGAAATGGAAGACAACAAATATAACCCCAAAAACTCGTGTCGTCATTATATCCACAATTTTCACACATAATTGTGTGTGTTTGTAAGCTGTCACCATATCGTATTTCACGTGTCTACTTGCCCTAACCAGTCATTATCTAACTAACTAAGTAACTAACTAACTTACTGTACGGAGCTGGATTCTTCCTGAGAATACAACGGATTCTCAGCTACTCAAGGAATTCCCCAAATTTTATCCCTGACCTGTCACTGCTGTGTTCAGAAGAACCCACCACTGGTTCCTCCAGACGAATCCAGTCCACAACAGCCCATCCTCTTTCCCTAAGATTCATTTTAATAATATATTCCAATCTAGACCAAGGTTTTCCCAGTGACTTTCCTCCTTCAGCTATTTCTACCCAAACCCTGTGTGCATTATCGCTATATACGCTACATGAACTGCCCATCTCATCGTCCTTGACTTCACCGCTCTACTTAAATGTAATGAGTACACACTATGACGCTCGTCTTCTGCAGCCTCTTACTGTTTCATCCCTCTTGGGTCCAGATATTCTCCTCAGCACCTCTGTTCTGAAATGCCCTCAGTCTGTGCTCTTTCCGTAATGTGAGAGACCAAGTTTCACACCCATACAGAACCACAGGCAAAATTGCAGTTTTGTATGTTTTCGGATAGCAGACGAGAAGACAAGGAAGTCTCAGCTGGATGGTAGCAAGCATTCCCAGAGTTTAATCTGCTTTGTTATTGTCGTCCTCAAATGCCCGAAGTTCACTACAAGCAGTTAATTACCAACAAACAAACAAACAAAGCATCTCTGTCGCAAATGACACTTCAAATGCAGCCTTGAGACGGCGTTACCTCATGAGCATTATCTCGTGGGAAGTGACGTCGTGCAGTCTGGTAGAATTTAAAATATTTTTCGGAGTAACGCACTGCCCCGAACTTGAGGGTCGGTGAGCAAGTGAGGCGAACAGCAAGCAGAATGGTTCACTTTACTGCTTTCTGACTTGCTTGGCGTATGCTTTGCCCATGAAGATGGAGCCAGTACCTTCCTCCGAAACATGGCAAACTTGTTGCTGTTTACTGTCCGTGTGTGTAGACCTGGACGCTCTCAACAGAATGCGCAGTGGATTTGGTCGAGTCCTTTAAATGAGATAGGGACTGTTAAGTTTGCATGGGTTGCAATACGGCCTTAGTTACATTACATCATTGTCTAGTTTTTCTCTATATTCGACCTTATGATTGGATTGTGAGTACCAAAGCTGAGCTGCTAGTACTTTTATGTTTATACTTATGACATAAAATTCTGAATACAACCTAAAACAGAAGTAAGAATAACAATCGATTTCTCGCATAATTTATGAACGAGTATTTGTTAGCTTCTGTAACGACGCTTATCCAGCTGAACAAGATCAGTAGTGTCTAATGGGAGGTTGTGATTGATAATCTGATAAAGATTTGGAAATAAACTACCGTGGCCTATTTTAAATAACATACCGGCATTATGGTTTTGGTACTGATAAAAAGACACTAAAGCCAGTGAACATAACGGTGTAGTGGTGACGCACTACACTCATACTTTGGAGGTACTCGGCTCGAATCTTGGTCGGGCCCCTCTTCGGACAGATTTTTTACAGTTTTCCTCAGTCCCTCCAAGCAAATACCGTCATTGTATTTTGACCAATTCTTTCCAACTCCTGTCTAGTACATCATTCACCAACCATCCTGCCAGTCGACGTTATACAGGATATTCTGGGAGGTCATAGTATCGGTCATTCTAAGCAAAATAGTGTACATGTACGTGTCCTTTTCCGAACGGTTTACGAGATAGAGCTGTTTCACTGTCCGGTACACTGCGCACTGTGCAGACGAGCAACACGCCATGTCCTCCTCACACGACTTGCAAAGTGCGTTGATGCTGACTGCGGAATTTTCGAAAATGTATTTTACTGGGTAAAGTACGAGTATACCAACTTTGTCACTTCAACAATAAATACCGGTGTTACAAACAGTACACAATATCTCTTTCTTAACAACAGTTTTGGAACTGTACAGCGAAATAGCTCTATCTCTGAAACCGTTCGGAATAGGACACATGTACATAGAGAGTTTTTGCTTAGAATGACTGATACTATGACCTCCCAGAATACTGGCCTTTCCTCCTGGGACATCCTGTATAATAACTCGTCACCACGAACACTTCTTGTTTGAAGAGACTCAGGATCGCGGACAATATCAAAACAATAGTCATGATTATCACTGGACATCATGAATTACTCGCCGGGCATTGTAGTTCACAGGTCAATTTCAAAATCACTTATGTATCAAAACTCTGCGATACGGTGTAAGCCAAGTCAGCTACACACAGCAACATAGCTACAACGTTGTGTCTAAACCATATTTGAGAATGCGTCATCATAATTTACAGTGTAGAACCGTTACTATGCAACGACCGCTAGATAAATATACTAGAGCCGTTTCTAGGCAACGGCTCGGTAAACACGTTCCCGCGGCAACTGATACGCATACAACAATATAGGTACTTTTGCAAAACGGTGTTTTCTACTCGGTCAGTGCAATGGGGTTATAAGGAGGGCATTTGAAACAAGAATAGTTCAGTTGGAAGGGAGCCACCGTTCAGAGAGGACTTGATTCCGGAAGCAGAGGACTAGCCACTGTTAGTAGCCGTTGCCAGGCGACTAATATGGAAGAAACTGTGGGCTGGAAAAGACTTCGCGTGAGTTTATAAAGGGCAGAGATGAAGTTAGTGTTGTAGGAATTTGTAGTTATGAACTTCAAGTAGTCAGTAAATCGAGTCAGCAATCATAACCCCGTCTGTAGGCGCATATAGTATACGTGACAATAATACAGCAACGTGAACCGTTACGTTATCATGAGAAAGTTACTAGATTCTTTAAAAAATGATGGGATGCAAACTCAGCACGCAGTATAGCTCTCGTTAACACAGGGACTTCACTTCTGGGAAGTAGTGTCGCAAAATCTGTCTTCAGAATGCTTCTCCTCGTTCGTGACGAGTAGCCGTGACTGTACATGGCATCGCCATGCTGTCCTTCTGTTGGGGCGGGGAATGTGGACATCTGTCAAGTCTCACAACCCACGCGTCATGGCGTAATTTATATTCAGAAACTGAATTTGTGAACTCTTAACACGTTTGTTTTCGCAACCGTATGTTGCTAACGTCTCAAAAACTCTTACATACCGCGTTGTACGTATATCTTGGTGCACACCTAGACAAATCTACGGTCAATAGATTGCTTGTGTTGTTTCTCATCTATGAACTACTCCTTTGAGGTGGGCTCAGGTGTCATGACATGCATACAAAATTCAAAAAGAGACTGGTTCAGCCATCAGAAGTTGATAGAGGGGGATACCCAGAGAGCATTGCGATCGCATAACTCTACTTCTGTTTCTTAAAAATAAGTAAATTAAGCTCCTTGTTAGGTGGGTCCCTTGTCACCACGGCATGGCGCGTCCTCAGGTTGCGGGTGGAGGAGACGCCCTCCAGATATGGAGGGAAGCTGCGAATGTATTTAATAAGCACTCGCGGACAGCCTACAAGGGGTTGCCCTCCAGCGTGGGGATTAGGCATGGGGCTAATAACTCCTCATCGTAAAAAATAACTTTGTTACGAAAATTCTCAAGAAGCCTCTGACCTGGACGGATTCCTAGGATAAACGACCTAAGCTAAAGAAAATGGACATGGGATTTAGCACTTGGAACGTCAGAAGTTTGTATAGGGCAGGTTCGCTCAGGGCAGTGGCAGAAGAAATCTTAAAATATAAGTTAGGTTTAGCGGTAGTACAGGAGGTCAGATGGGCCGGAGGTGGCATCGCACCAGCAGGAGACTATACATTTCACTATGGACTCGAGTAATGCTCGCTACCATTCAGTCCAGACCCTTCTGTCCTCTCGTCTGCTGTCCAAAAACATAAAAATTAGAATATACAAAAATATAATTTTGCCTGTAGTTCTGTATGGGTGTGGAACTTGGTCTCTGACATTAAGGGAGGAACATAGACTGAGGGTGTTTGAGAACAGGCTGTTGAGAATATTTCGACAGAAGAGAGATGAAGTGACAGGAAGTTGGAGAAAACTACATAATGAGGAGCTTCATAACTTGTACTCTTCTCCAAGTATAATTAGAATGATCAAGTCAAGGAGGATGCGGTGGGCAGGGAATGTAGCACGAATGGGAGAGAAAATGAATGCATATAGGATATTGGTGGGAAAGCCAGAAGGAAAGAGACCACTTGGAAGACCAAGACGTAGATGCGTGGATAATATTAGAATTTATCTTAGAGATAGAATGGGGTGGTATGGACTGGATTGGTCTGGCTCAGTATAGGGACCAGTGGAGGGCTCTTGTGAACACGGTAATGAACCTTCGGGTTCCATAAAATGCTGGGAAATTCTTGAGTAGCTGAAGATTTGGTTTCTCCTGAAGAAGGGCTCAGCTCCGTAAGTAAGTAAATTAAGCTAACACAGTGTGACTACTATACAGAAAACACGCTGCAGCTTCGTTACAAATACCACTCCGATAAAGCTGTTTAGTGAGGAATAAAATATATTTATTCTGTTATATGGAAGAGTAGAAATGTTTTGTGTTGACAAAATATAGACTTTGTGAATGTCAAATGAAGTGGTGTATATAGTTACCACTGTGCTTTAAAGGGTTAATTCTAATAAGTATTGTCAGAAAAGAAGCCACTTGAAGCACGCAACACGTGAATAATCCCATTATGTTCCTTCATCAGATCCGCCGACTAGACTGACGTAGTGGTACAGCTGTAGACTCGTAATCGTACGGTGCCCGGTTCGAACCTCGGCCATAATTTGTGAGATTTTTCGTGGCTTTCTCAGTCATTGTAGGAAAATTCAGGGACAGTATCTCTTTTGGACTTTGACCGATCAATTCCGAAACCTTTTCAATTCATGAATCATCATAAAGTAAGTAAGTAAAGCTAGCCCCGAACCAGGCCGTGAAGGCCCGTAGGATTGTGAGACGTTGAGGGTCCCACATTGTCTAGACAATCGGTTCAAAGATGGTGGTAAAGTTGTCAGCCCTACGCGCCGGCCGCGCTTTACTCCCCAGAAAAATTAATTCCTGGTACTCATATACCATTAGATATTATAGACTCCATCTTTACGGCGTCGTGCAAATAAATAGAAGCACATTTACCACCTATGACATTAACGATTAGGTAAGTGGGAGAGTCAGTAAATAGGTCACAAATGGAAGTAAAGCAGCTGTAATGAATGTAATAGGTTCTCTATGTGTATCACTAGGTAGCAGCTGTGCATGCTCATGTTCAGAGACTGGTTTCAGTAGTCAAAATGGCGACTGTGCTTTAGCAGTATACTACCGAAGAGCAGCGTTGTTGTGCGTTATTTTTTTGTGAACAAAAGGACTCAATGCAAAGGATATTCATAAAAAAAAATGTTTCCTGTTTACGGTGGTGTTTGTCGCGTAAAACAGTTCACAGCTGGGTGGCAAAGGTTTCAATGTTGAGGAAGAGTTTGAAATGGAAGTGCGGAAGTGGCTGAGACAACAATCAAAAGACTTCGGTGCCGCGGGTTTCGCCGCATTGCTAAAGCAATCTGACAAGTGTATCAGTGTTGTTGGGGGATATGTCGAGAAATGAATGTTTTCTCCAGATTCGAATCTCATATATTTTACGTTTTATATGCATTTGTGGCCTGTTTACTGACTTTCCCTCGCATAATGAATTGGTAAGTATTTGGAAGGAAGTGGTAGTGACCTGCATGATGTATTATCCCGGAATATGCCTCGAGAATAAGGGAAATCACAAGTCGGTGTCGTAGCCGAGATTCGAAAGGGTACAGTTTCCTGATATGCCGCTGTAGGAGCTTGTAACACGTCGGGACGCCGGTCAGAAACGAAGCGCACTTGGTAGAGCTGCAAGTTCACCTGACGCGGTGGGATTTACTCTGCAGGAGCCGTCGCCCGGTTAAAATCAAAATCAGCCCCATCCGCCCGTCTTACTGCTGCAACACATCCCTGCACTTCGAGACTTTGCTATCCCCTCCCTCTTTCGGCTGACGAGTCATGGGAACAGGTCCCCGGCGTTACACCATGAAGGCGTGTGGGAGAGTGGATATGTAGCAGTAGACCTCGGCACTTCACGTCCCGGTCGCTTTACCCCCGGGGAAAGGGAACCCGGTAACCATTGGGTAGGAGGCTGGGTGGCCCCTAGACCGGTCTGGACAACGTGGGGAAGAGAACAGTTTTTACCCTACCGGGACTCGAACTCCAAACCCTCGGTCATCCAACCCGTGGTAGTCGCTATAACACCTGAGCTATTCCGGTTCCTGAAGGAAATACAGTAGACTTGCAGCTGCTCGGGGCGAGTAGGTGATCAAATTCCGCGGATAACCGGGAACCCAGAATAATCAGTAAAAGGAATATTGCAACTGACTACTTATTTGGGATTTATAAACGACATATACATAGGTGAGTGTGGGTTTCTGGGGAGCTTCTATGCCGTTTCTACACAATGAAAAGAAGAAACTAAACAAAGAAAGCCGTCTCGAGTCACCAAATACATGTTAAAACGAGTAATACGTGTATATCTCCCTTCGTTTCGTATTTGTGCCTGCTTAAAAAGCAATTTCACATTGGACACACCAGTCTACCTTTCTAATGTCACCGGATTATTGGCCCCGGCTAATCCGGAGTCCTCTGCACTAGGGAAGAAAGAGACAGGCTCACTGTTCGTGAACCTCTGCAGTGGTAAGATTTGTCTGCGGAAATTAACCAGTAAATTCCATCTAAAATACACAAATTCAGTTCCTGCGTCACATAAAACTCGCTGAGTCTTTATTACACCAGTGACTGACGCTGTTTCGGAAAATAGTCCCTGTGTATTTTGAGAACAATTCGGAATACAAACATATTCTTTGGGAAAATGCATGTTGCGTGTACATATTGTTACCGCTCAGCCTGTCAGATGGGTTAGACAGAGATGAGGACCTTCATGAAGTACAGAGGAACCAATTGATACTGAGTAACGGTCTCGGTGTGATCAGAACATTCAGTGGGTTCCGAGACTTCATTTGTCAAATACATTCTCATTATAATGCAGACACATTTAAATTTGAGTACCACTTACGGTATTCATGGAAGTTAAGATTCATATCGTCGCCTTGTGTATTATGCCACTTTTAACCTGAAAATTGAAGCAATATTTTCCTTCGAAGTATTGACAACCATCTGCAAGAGTACACGGTATCATAACATAAAGGACCACAATACGATTTTGAGAGTGAGTTCCTCTTACCACTAAGACCCAATTAGTAGCCGTAAAACTTGGGATGACAGATGTTGTTAGGAGCCATTACAATTTTTCTCTTATTTTTATGACTTCAAATTTGCATTCGTGGGACAGCAACAAGATGCGGCACTCCCCAAAAGACCCGAATTAAANACTCGGCACGGCGGCCACTGATTGGCCTATTGTAGCCTGCCCCGGGTGATTATGATGATGGAGAATTTGGTGGAATGAAGAGAAAACTCACCCCAGCGCCACTTTGTCCACCACAAATCCCACTTGACCAGACCCCGGGATCGAATCCGGGCCGCCGAGGTGGGAAGCCAGCGACTAACCGCTTGAGCTATGGCGCGGCCTAGGACACACGTATACGTACATACACTTTTTGCTTAGAATGACCGACACTGTGACCTCGCAGAATGCTGACCTCTTCTCCAGAGATACTCTGTATTTTAACCTTGAAAGAGTAGTTCTGGAAATCTAAAATGACACTTTGGCACTATACGAATTTAAATTTCGCACTTGAGTGTTACATACCAGATTGTCACTTACCAGCCTTCAGATTAAGTCTCAAATAAAACTGCGTTGTCGTGTAAAGCAAAGGCCCCGCTCCGCCCACTGACCGATACTTTCTGTCAACGTCAAGGCTTTGACTCCTAATTCGCCGGCAATCTTGCAGCAACTGACTTGAGACACGCGTCTGTTCAGAGGCCTATCAGCGCCTATCGGCCCGGCTGCCTATACAGTGAGCTGATAAGATTTGTGTTCCCATTGCGTCCTGATTGGTGAATGTACAAACGTTAACTTCAGCAGCACTAGCTTCCAGTATGTTGCGCTTCGGAGCAACATAATACCACCATCGTCAAGGTGGAATAGAGAGCCAAGCAAGGAAACGAACATATTTTATTTTTCGCTGCTTTCTTTCCAGTTTCGACCCCAAGATGGAGCCAGTGCATTCCCCCGTAAGTTCGGTAATCTTCTACAAGACTCTACGGCGTCAGATATCACAACATAATAAAAGGGTAAAGTTGTATCTGTACTTGACTAATTAAGCACTACGCCATTAAGATATGTGGGGGAGTGGCTGTATAGATCCACGTATTCTTGACCTCGGCGCTAGTTGGAAGCGAGTGGTAAGCTTTACGTCCCAGCCACTTTACCCCCGGGTAAAGAGCCCCTGTAACCATCGCTGTTTTCCGCACTCTACAGATCACGCTAAGTCTCTCCACTATTAGTTGCCTGGTAACCGCTTTGACAATGGCTGTTTCCGGCCTCTACTCTCCCCTGAACGGAAGCTCTCTTCCAACTGACTCTTCTTCAGAGTCAGAGTTACTTTCAGACTGTCGTTTTAGCGCCAATCAGTCTGTCTTGGCGAGAAGCCCCTTTTTTCATCTGAACACCTGTTTCATAGTCCTAATGTAACATCGTCTCTGACGAGAGGATGGAGCTGTCGTTTACAATTGCTGCTGGTCCTCGCCAGCGCACTCATTGTCAGGTCCGAGTCCTATGGGACTCGTGACCACATTTTACTGAATCAGATTCGAGACTTCCCCAACCTGGAGGACCAGGCCCCCGTATTTATGTCCCCAGGAACAGGGTGGCCCAGTTATACCCCCAGGCACTTGGTTCCCTTTTCGTCGCCTCCTACGGCTCGCAGGGAAACGGTGGAGGTATTCGACCCCGCCTCCACACGGAATTCCTGAATTATTCTTGCTTCAGTTCAATCCAACTTTCTCACAACTACAGCAGATGCAGTTATGAGAAAGTTGGATTTTGTATACATTGTGCATTACAAACAGGGTATGTATATGTATGTTAACACTTAAAAAACCCATTGTGATAGTTTCCAAAAAATTATCGATGTCCCTCTGATGATGGTCTATAGGGACCGAAACATGTAAGGGTGCTAAGTTCAAGTAGTAAAAACTTCAATAGTCACACTGGACGGAGTTGTTTTGTCTTTGTAATTATTAGCGTGACGGACCAGAATGAAACAAATCAAATCCAATTATGTTAGTTTGTTCAGTTAATAAATGTTATCTTCTCTTTGGGTTAGAAAAGAAAAAGGTGTTTTATTATGATTCTGGAGGGGCATTACCCCAGGGACATATGCTGGAACAGGTACACTAAACCGCACCCATTCTGGCGTCATAACACCTCCACTCCCCCATACGCTTTCATGGCATAGTGCTTAAATTCGTTGAGCACAGGGACAAATATATATATATATATATACATACTTAATTCTAATACTTATTACCTACTCGAGGCAAAATTTCTGCTATATGACACGTTGCACTAGTGGTATTAGTAATTTAATGACTAGACATATTCCATATTAACTGCCTGATGATGGTCCTATTTAACCAAAACATGTAGCAAAGTAAAGGTTTAATTGCAAACATTAAAAACGAATATACATTCGTTGTGGTTTAACATAACTATATATATATATATATATATATATATATGAGGCCCATAGGTTTGTGAGACGTCGAGGCTCCCACATTTTATCTAGACACTCGGCTCACAGATGGCGGTAAGTTTGTCAGCCTTACGTGTCCTTCGCCCTTAACCCCCAGGAAGATTCCTGGTACACATTTCTGTTAGAGGCTGAGTTGATCCCAGGGCCATAGCGCGGATGGAATGATTAGTAAATTTAAAGAAGCCAGTTACCTCAACGGGAATTGAACGCGCGACCTTACAACTTGCAGCATATTGCCTCAACGAACTAAGCTATCGCATGCCCCGTGCCCCTATTCCGTGGAAAAGCCGTGTGTCAATGCTCCGAAACTGCCTGATCCTGTGGGCGACTCGCCGGAAAAAAGTAGTTCATAATCATCAAATCTACATCCGCCTTCCGGAATCACAGAATGTGCTTCCTGCTGGCTCTGCATCCGCCTGCAGGTCCTTCCGCGGGTCCCACAGAGAACCAGGATCGCCTTACTGAACCCCGCGACATTTTCTGGCCCTTTTCGGACGCTGTCAGAAGCTACTATATGGCAGGGTGATGATGAATTGGAACGGATGCGGAAGGAAGCGCTCCTGGCATAATCGAGTTACTGTTCCGATAGCTGTCTTGAAGGAAACTCGCATTCAGGATAGCCAATGTCCAGACCAGATTCGAGCCCAGCCCCTTCCGAATATGAATGCACATCTCTACCAGCACACTCCTCTGTGTACATCTTTCGTCTTGTCAATTATTTAACGACGCTCCCAAGCTATGAAAAAAGACAGTTGCTCTTGCATCGCCAGACATTGACATTAAAGCAAATAAAACCGCATACAATTAATCTGTAGCCGGCAGTGGCGGCTCGTGACCGTCTGGAAAGTATGGCCAGAAGCTTATACACTTTAACCCCCTTCCGTCCGTCTAAATTACTGCAGGCACGCCGTAGCGTAGTTGGTTGAGGCACTATGCTGCAAGCCGGAAGGTCGCGGGTTCGATTCTAGACGAAGTCATTGGATTTTTTTCAATAGACGTGACCCTTCCAGCCGCACTATGGCCCTGCGGTAGACTCAGCCTCTAACAGAAATGAGTACCAGGAATCTTCCTGGGGGTAAAGGGCGGCCGGGGCATAAGACTGACAACATCACCGCCGTCTGTGAGCCGTTTCTCTAGAAAATGTGGGAGCCTCGACGTCTCACAACACTATGGGCCCCCACAGCCTGTTACATGGATACTTTTTACCCTTTTTTTATATGTAGCAAGTAAATGTTCCCATTAATTTTCAACGTGTTACACCAATATATACGTGTTTAGTGAACAGCGACGAGAAACCCCCCTGAGGAGTTCAGGCGTCTGCTGAGGTGTAACTCCCTCATTCGTAAAAGAAAACTTTGAAGATAAGGTTCTAAAAGCCTCTGGAGCTATCTGCCTTTGCAAAGTTGAACCAAAAACCGACGTTTCAGGAATATCCTGGTTCTCCGTTTTCTTGGTAGGTGTGGAGAATAAGGGGGGCGGTGGGAGGGGCAGGTTGAGAGAGGCACTATATTTAAGGGGGGAGCGTAATTGTTTTTAATCTCCGGTTTGAAATTTCCCAGACTGTGTCCGCTTGTCCTTCTGGTGGAGGCACATTTAAGAAAGGGTAAAGCTTTGGGAAGTGAAAAGGTATGAAGCCTGAATGAAAGAAGTTGGGCCGGTACTTTGCTGCGTATGATGTTGGAAGGGCCACGCCATAGCTCAAGCGGTTAGTCACTGGCTTTCCACCGCGGTGGCCTGGGGTCTGGTCAAGTGGGATTTGTGGTGGACAAAGTGGCGCTGGGGCAAGTTTTCTCCGAGTACTTCAGTTGCCCCTGCCAATCTTCATTCGACCAATTGCTCCACAATCACCCTCACCTGTCATCTGGGGCTGGGGCTGGTACAATAGGCCAGAAGTAGACGCAGTACAAGGGACTTAGTCCCACCCCACTAGCAATAAAAAAACGACGTTGGAAGGGCTACATTGTAATGAAACTTTGATCTGGCATTGGGAGGACTACATTAGGGCGAAATTGCGATGTTACCATTGGGAGGGGCTGCATGGGAAGCACGCAGTTTAACGTGGTATTTGGATGAGCACCAAGCTGTTGTTTATAATAAGTGCGAAGAGTATATATGCCTTTACACATGCATGCATATACATGTATGTATGTATATATATTAGAATTTAGTTAAAGTTTTCTAAATTTTCTAGTTTCACTAAATTCTAGTTAGAATTTAGTGCATTAGTACAAATATTATGTTTCTGGACATTATGAATCATCCTGTCTTTATTTCAAGACGCCGTCCTATTTATTTTTCAAAACAGAACGTTTCGGAGACTGCATTTTGTCTCCGTCTTCAGGTAAAACCTACTCAGTTGGGCCCATTTAGATAGAAGCATTCCCTGTCTCCAGAAAAATATTAGTTGTATTATGCTTTGATATGCTGTGGTATTCCACATTACGCCAAGCTGTACTGTGTTGTTCTGCATTATGCCATGGTATGCTGCTCTGCCATACAAGTGCTACTCCTCAGTGTGCTGTTATACTACAATGCTACACACTGCTATGTCATGCTACATTACTCAACAGTGCAATAGTGTCATGAGTTTACAGTCATAACCACTTTCCGACAGCAAACTGTCACGTAGGCGTGCGAACAGTTGTTGCTTCTGGATTTATTGGAAGTCTCTATTACAATTACACTCGATTACAGCAGCTCACACATTGAGCTCCTTCTGTTACCGAATCTGTCACTGTTGTCTGGATCTTGAAGAGTCTCTAGTCTCTCGAATTCTCTATCTGGATCCCTGAATCTCGGGCTGAACTAACTTCATGCGGACTGAATATAGAACACCCAGTCAGACAGTTGATTGTCCTCTGTTATTCTCGGTATGACAATTTCTGGGCAACGTGTTGATTTATACAAGCGTATTCGTTTACGCGAAGTGTTTCAGCTAGCCGTTGTCTAGCAACTGACATCTCTGCTGTGCTTCTCTGACTGCACACTTCAGCTTTCAGGCATCATGTCACAATGGTAAACTGTGTTATGGTATGCTATTCATTGTCTTATAATGACGTTGGGAATTGTGGACTCAGCGCGACGCGACAACGCACGCGTGGCCAGTAAACACTTCCCCGCTGTGACGTAACAGCTGCACTATCCAACTAATTTCATGGAGCTGAGCCCTGCTTGAGAAGCCACCAGAATTTCCCAATCTATACTACACTATTAATTATTATGCTACTCGTACACCACATTAGAGTGTGTTATATCACTTTTCACTATGCTGTGCAGCGCTATGCTATACAGTGATAACCAGGGCCCGGATTTTGATGACCTGAAAATATTTAAAAAATGACCTATAAAATGACCGAAAAGATCCAGAAAAATGACATAAAATATGACCCAAAAATGTAATATGTCAGAATATCTACTAATTATTTTAAAATGTATTATTAATCTTGTAAGATTTGAGGTTTTCACGGCAGTGATTATGAAGAAAGCAGTCTTCTGGGATTTGGCACCATGTATATGTGGTTTTCCAAGGTTCCAATGATGACGTCTGCCACGTAGCGAGCCTCCGTATCGCAGGTCTCATCAACAGAAACGAAATCTTCTTCCTATGCGCTTTATTCCCAATCATTTCCAGGATACTGTTGTAACACTTGGAAAGGTAGTTCTTCCTGAGTGTGGATTCATCCGGGATGAAACGACAACAGTTTACGTCCAGAAAATGTTTCAGTTTTCCATTGTTCAGAGCCCAAAATGGAATATTTGCGGACACCAGAACACAGTCTGGGGACCTGTTGTTGAGTGATGAATTCATCCACTTCCCCAGTTTGGCTAGGAGTCACTGTGATGTGTAAGGTATACAATACCCCGAGCTGATTCAAAGCAAAATATTAGGGCGTTTATTGAATGGAAAAATAGTTTTTGCTTCCATATTGATACAGTTTTGGCGATCAGATGACCGACTGCTAGACAGACCAGAGTATTCAGCACTGACACAGCATGGTTTTAAATACCTGGCCACAAGTGAAACTCCTCAGAATTGCTGCTGAATACAAAAATACATTGTCTTCTTACCATTCTTGGGATGGTATCCAGATCGTAACTCATTACTTTATATCAGTCACTTATCTTCACTTGACTTCAAAAATTGATATTCAGAAGAAGATATTGCGTGATACTTGAGAAACTGAGGTAATGTTGCTTCAAGAAAATTTCAGAAGTCTTGAACAATCGCTGACAGAACGAGAAGACCAGCCTCTCACCACATTGACTCTGTACACTGTGTTTGTATTAGAAAAATAACACTTCAACGAGTGTTGATGCTAGGTCCTTGTAAAATATAAGTGAGCAAATAATTTACATACAAAATCCCCATTTTTCAATATGAATAATACATTTAAATATAGTTGCAGTAACAAAAATATTGACAGTATATTTATGCTATATCATCTATCTGAAACATCTGTGAGGGTACATCATAACCTGAACTGACAACCTTATGGAAGAGAAGTACTCCTTGTTAAACAAGATCTTGGTGTAGCAATTTAGGTTACAATTGAATGGTGAAAATATTATCTATTAAACCTGTTTGAAACATCTTTGAGGATGCTTCACCATTGGATAGTAACAAAAATTATTATGCCATCATTAGGATGTGGCAGCCGTTGCTAGGCAATGGCACAGAAAACACGTTTCCACAGCAGTAAATAAACACACAACCAGGGAACCATCGAAACAATATCCTCTATATGGTCAATGCCAAGGCTATATAGTGAGGACCAACTGAGTGTTAGTCAGTGAACCCCAGAGTCATGTGATGGCAAAATATGGTCATGAGGCCCATGGGACTCGGAACCAGGAATGACTGTGTTGACAACAATTTACCCAGCTGACTAACTGATCAGTCAGAGGTTGAAGTTGGCAGTTAGCAGTCTTGAGTTACATTGTTAGCAGACAATACCTAGTGAGATTGTTATAGTTATTTGTGTTTATGAGTTATAAGCTTTCAATAAATCCAATTATCAGTCCAGACCCTGTGTCCAGTATGTAACATGCGACTTGATGGGAACAAAAATCACCGTATTGGAGATCTTACAGGAAAGAGAAGGCTTTTCTTCCACAGTGTTGCATGATGAAGGTGTGACAGACTCTCAAAGAAGTGTCAGACAGGTAACTTCCTAATGGTGCCACACTCTGCATCACTGCCTGATGATGGTACCTTCTCAAAGATATTTTAGACAGAGTATATTTCATTGTGCAGGAAGCGCAACAGAAGAAGGCTCAAAGCATGGTGACCAACATGTTTTTGCCCTGAGTATCTTCTTTTCTTCAGAAACCAGTACTGTCTTCCTCTCTCCGCTGCATATTAACGATTTCAAATTGATTCACAGTCACTTGAAGGCAGAACTTGTGATCTTTCTGACATATTCTTTGACATTTGAAGGGGGAAGCTTGGTCATGTGTACTGCCTCAACTCACACCAGTTCAGCCATTGCCCCCCCTTTGAACCCCCCCCCCCCCATTAACAGTTATGTACAAATATTCTAGGACTACCAATGTTCCTTCTCTTCTGCAGGGTAAGTGATGTAATATGGTGGACTCTGATAGTATGGCTGTCGTCCCATTGTAGAGTATGGAGGTCGTGGAGACACTGACGTAGGTGGCATCAGTTTTGGAGGCAATGTGGCAGCATATCCCGGTCCATATGGTGCCATATATATGGGCGGTCCCACTGGAGGTTTGACGCAGGTACAACCTGAACCTGCAGTAATCATTGAGGGTGCATGGCCCCCAGCTGACAGCGCACCTGGTGTTGCAAGTGGACCACCCCTATACTGAGTGTTGGTGATTCGTATCCTAATGATGCAGATCACTATGATGAGAACTGCAATGAATGCAACCACACCTCCAACAATGCCAATGATGAGGGTGTCATCATTATTCAGACTCGATGAGCCCACAGCTGGTGCTGCTTTATTGGTAGTGCCTATGTTAGGTTTGCTGCTGGAGGAAGGCTTGTCTTTACTTGGAGGCACAGACCAGATTATATCAGGCTCCGTGGTTGCTGCTGGTGATGGTGAAGATGTACTTGAGGTCACAGTTGATGGATGGTTGAGGTCACAAATCAATTCATCATCTGCAACTTCTACAAGAAGTTGGCCTTTAAGGTTTTCTGGAGAGACACAGTGAATGCCAGACATTCCCGCCCCTGGAAGCCACCGTCTCAGTGCCCGAGCACTGCAGTCACAGATTATGGGGTTGTCAGAGAGACCCATAAGTGTGAGGTCACCTTTCCGCTCATCCAGGGCGGCCAGCAGAGGTGGGCTGAGTGTAGTCAGCTGGCTGCCAGACACGTCCAACTCCAGGTGAATTGAACGTGGCAGAGTGAAGAACAGAGCTGGAGGGAGGGCTGACACTGAAGTGTTCCTTAGGCCAACACGAACAGCAGGCCCGCGCAATCCTGCCAGGACACCTGATGACAAGCTTCTGACCCTTGGCCCACGCAGTCCGAGTTCCTGCAGACGTGGCTGTAGTGCTGGTGTAAGCTGATCTCCACTCACAGCTGCATCTTTTAGTTCTATGTCCAGTTTCTCCAGTGCTGGCAGACTTTGAAGGATACCTAACACATCAAGGTATCCAAGTCGAGGGTACCCAAATGCTTTCAACTCTGAAAGGTTCCCAAGGTATGCAAAGGCATTCTTCTCTATACGTGTGCACATTGTAAGGTCATGTATCCTAAGAGTACGCAAACTTTCCAGACCATCCAGGTCACCCTGAAGGATACTTGTCACTGGATTGTCAGACACATCTAAAAGCTGAAGGTTCTTCAGTTGCTGCCACATGTGAGGAAGTTCGCTCAGGCTATTGTGGGAGATGTCAAGTTCCTCTAGTAATGTTGGGCGGTCAAATACAGTGTTTGGTAAAGTGTTTATGGCATTATGTGAGAGGTTCAGTCGCCGTAAGAAAGGTGTCTCCATCTGAGTGACAGATATAATTCCAGTACCAGCAAGATTTAAATCCCGAACTGTCTTTGGTTCTCCCAATACATTCTCGACAGCTTCTTGAGACAGCGGGTTGTAGGACAGATCCAGTTTCTTGATGTTGACCATGATGGAATCTTCTGGAGGGATTTCATGTATCTGGTTATGAGAAAGATCAACCGCAGACAAGAAAAAGTATTGGCGTTGTAGAGGCTGCAATGGTGGGGCCTCAAACCGATTTCCAGCTAAGTTGATACTTTCAAGCATCTGGAGACGAGAGCGCTCAAATATTGCATCAGGAAGCTCAGACAGCAAATTATTCTCAAGGTTCAGCTCTTCAAGGCGAACCAAACCTTCAAATGTTCTCTCACCAAGACGTTCAAGTTTATTACCTGAAATGTCCAGTATCTGAAGCTGTGTGGAATTCTGGAAAGCTAACTCACTAATAGTTTCAAGTTCATTATATGACATGATTAGTGTCCGAAGGCGAGGAAGACTTGCAAAATCGAGGTCTTCTACACTTCGCAGCAAATTGTGTCCTAAGTCTACATATTCTAGATATTGTAGAGATGTTATGAGTTCAGCAGGAAAGAAAGAAAACTTGTTGCCACTAGCAATCAGTTGGCAGAGATGAGGGTGAACACGAAATGAGCTTGGAAACAAGTAGCTGAGTTCATTGTTGGCCAGATTCAAGACTTCCAAACTTGTTCCCAGGTTTCCATCACTTCCAAGGTTGCGGAAAAATTCTCCCTTGAAAGCAGTCAGTCTGTTGCCACTTAAATTCACTTCTTTTATGTTTCTAAGGCCCATAAATGCTCCAGTTCGTATGTTGAGTATTTGATTATTTGATAGATCAATGCTTGTAAGGTTTCTCAAGTTACGGAAAGTACCTTCTGGTAATTCTTGGATCAAGTTTCCATGGAGAGCCACTTCCTCAAGGTTCTGGCTGTGAAGGAGGAGTTCTGGTGATAGAATTTTCAAGCCTGTTTGACTCAGGTCGAGCTTGCGAAGTTCTGGGAGGCCATGCAGTAGTGTAGTGGAAATAGAGCCCAGGGCGGTGTTGTGGCTGAGGTTCAGATAGACTAAGCTGGGAAGATGAGTGAAGGCCATGCGAGAAATCTCAGCAAGTTGGTTCTGTGACACATCAAGTACCTTAAGTTGGGGAAAAACAATTGGCACAGATGAAAGCGACGTCAGGCGATTTCCTGAGAGGTTCAGCTCAACTAAAGTTTCTTCAAGTCCGGTGAATGTGGTGGCTGCTACATTGGTCAATAGGTTACCACTGAGGTTGAGAACTTCCAGTTGTGTGAATTCTTTGAATGAGGTGGGCGGCAGTTCACGCACAACATTCCGGGCAAGGCTCAAGGTTGTCACACGGCTGGCAACTGCTCTTAGAATATCACCTGACAGTGCTGCCACCCTGTTGTAATCCAGCTGCAAAGCTGTGAGGCTGGGCAGGCGGTCCAGTGCTGATGCAGGGACCAGCAGAATGTTGTTATCCTTCAGGGACAGAATTTCCAATTTTGACAGTCCCTCGAAAACATCATCTTCCACCTGCAGGATCAAAAAGCATATCATTATAGACACTGGGGAAACCTGAGACCATGTGATGTATGTTTATGAATATCCATCTACCTGCATATATATTTTGCTCTTGGTGATGAATAGTGACATTCTTTGGCCTCACAATCAATATTCTGGATGGAATTCTATTTACTAACAAAAAGTTCTGTACATTTCACTTCCACAGCATGTTGTGGATTACTGCTGTACCATGTCTGGTGTTTTGGTATTTGTTACCTGCTCAGGGCTTGACAGATCTGTTTAAATGACACCGTTTTACATCAGCTCTTATGTATGAACTAACTACCTGCAGAAATATCTGTGTGATTTTACTTTATTTGCGCTTCCTTTAATTCAGTGTACAACCCAGCATCTTTTTGTCACTTTTTAAAGCATGATGCATGTGTATATACTGTAGAAGCTTTACTCATAGTTTTACTGTCATGCTCCTTTAAAGCATGGGTAGAATTTTGCATATTATATTTGATTCTATACACTTCAACATAACCTAAAATGCTGAGGCACCTTGAAATGAACACAAACACATATATATGGTCAATTTCACCAGGAAACTGTCAACACTAATTATAAGAAAATTATTGTAACAGTGCTCCTATATATCTGCTCACTTCTCTCATCTTCCATCTTCCATTTCCTCACTGGAGGCAAGCAATACCAATACTACTTTGTATCAGTCGTTAAGTGTGTTCAAAACCACTGTTTCCAAATTGAAGTCGGTTCCTGGAAGAGTTGGTGAAGAAGTAAAGGAAAAAGTACACAGCATTCTTTAAAAAATCCAGGATATGAACAAATTTGTGAAATTAAAGAAAGTTTAGCCGGTAAACATACTGATCTGCAAAGTAAAATATCACTAACAGTGGAGCAAATAGCGGCTTTTGTACATGTGCCCCTAAGTTCCTGTGAGGTGGAAAGAAGTTTTCCCACTATGAGGACATCTTACGAGACAACAGGAGGCGACTAACTATGGAAAACCTAAAACATTTAGTAACTGTGAACTGCAACAGAAGAGAAGTTGAAAGTTTGGAGAGCTAAATGTGAGTACTATTGGTTTTTTAAAGTTGTAATGAAATATGTTGGCTTTGTTGGATGATTTTTGTTTAAGTATAGCTTTTTATTGCAAGTGAATCATTCAGTGATTACATAAAATGTACTTAAATATTGATTTGTTGGTCCTAAAATAATGTAAAATCAATTTTAATATTTTGTATAAAATTTTATGTGCATATTTTAGTGCATATTTCAGAAGTTTTTCATGCATAAATATTTAAGGGATTATTAGGGCATAAAAATCCGGTCCCTAGTAATGATGCACCCATGATTTGTCCCTAGTAACAGTCCTGTTAAGCATATCTTCTCCTTCATCTGCATGCTGTAAGAGATGTTGCAAGGACAGATCCATTTGGTTCATTTTTTCTCGAGCCTTCAGATCTCTGGGCACACACCATGCACACACTTTCTGAAACTACAAATGATCATGCATTATGCTGTATGCTAACCCATGGGAACACCCTAGTGCAGTTGCTACACTGTCTATCATTGTCCTCCTGTGAGCTTGACTCAACTTTTCCACACAGTGCACAGTTGCTTCTGTCGGAGTCCCAACAGGGTAACCTGATTGGGCATCATCTGCAAGTTTCGAAAGTCCTTGAGAGAATTTATTAACCCTATTGTAAACTACTTTAAATGACAAACACTTCCCACCTTAAACAGGAAACATTTCTTTATGAATATCTTTGCATTGAGTCTTTTTGCCCAACAGAATGCCACTCTTTGGTAGTACAGCCCTCAAGCATGGCTGCCGTGTTAACTACTGAAACCTGCCTCTGTACATGTGCATGAACCTGTGCATCTGCTGCCTAGGCTACCATAAAGCTGGACTGAACTGCTACCCAGTGATGCATATAGAAAATTTATTACATCCATTACAGCTGTTTTACTTTCATTTGTGACGTATTTATTGACTCTTCCTCATACTCATGTTAATTAGAAAGAAGTCATACTGGCTAGTGTGGAAATATCTGATCCATATACCAGTGAAGTTGTTATGCAAGGAATAGCAAGAATGATGAATTTTCCACTGCTTCCTGAGTATCACATCTATGATCCTATGGATAGCATTCCCCTAAAACGAAATATATTTGACAGTTTCATACTAATTAATGGCCTTGTAATGGGTTGGGGTGGAATTTGATTGCCCATCAGTGGAACTCTCTGTTGTCTGTCCTGTTCACCTGTTGTAAATACTTGAGGCCATAGCCTGCTGTAGTCTGCACTGCCATTATACTTACTGTTCTTAGAGCATTGACACTGAGGTCCAGTTTGCGCAGTTGGCCAAGTCCAAGAAATGTCCCTGGGGCAATGTTGGCGATGTTATTGCGGCTTAAATCAAGAAGCTCCAGCTCAGGCTGTGATGCCAAGTTGGCATTCTCCAGACTCTGACAAGGAGAATGTTTGAGAGATGAGCAGTTTACTTACTGATACTCTGACTTTGTACAGAAGTCATTACCCATGTTGTAATTGTTGTACCTTAGTATCCTGTTACAATTGGTACTAGAATTTTCAATTTTATTTACTGTCCACCATGCAGCAGTATTAAGATTGAGATTTAAAATTCGCGTGACAATATATATATATATATATATATA